AAATTTACTTCAAATTTAATATGCCTTATGTTGAAAGGATGTAATAATAGCTGGGCTTAATGGATGTTTAATAAGTATAACTATTTGTATACATGTATATTAGATTGATGATGCTAATAATGGGTAAAAAAAAAATGGAATCGTAAACTATTAGAGAATGTTATCAGGTCCGTCCAAAGGAAAAATTTTCCGAAGGTAAAACACAAAAGAGAGAAAAAGAAAAAGAGGAAAAAAAAATCTCGCGCCTAGGAGAGCCAGGTATTTAGCTCCTTCTGGGCCGGAGACTGAGTTTAATCTGGAGAGTCAGAGGAGGGGTAGAGGTGTGGCCTCAAGATTTACCTCAGCCTCCAGGCAGATGGGCCATGACAATACCCAGCTGTGACTCCTCCCATGCCCCACTTCGGAGACTGAAGAGGCTTTTATGTTATATGTGTTGTGTGTTTGTGTTTGGCTGAAAATAAAAATTTTATTTTAAAAAAAAAACAGAGAGAGAGAAATTGACCGGCCGGTGTCTAGGACAACTCTTCACGCCTATCTCGCCGCGATCAACTTGCCGCGGAAGAATTCCATGGGTGATAACTCAACTGTCAATCCTGAAGCTGGCCTGGCTGAAACCATCTTGGAGCTTCAGTGCTGCACTGGAGCAGAGGGATAGGGAGAGGGGATTAGAGATAGCTGAGGCTGTACTCAAAACAATGTACTTTCTCTTGGGAACCAGTGGGTCTATTACTTGGAACTCTGACATCAATGCAATCAGCATTATCCGCCACTGTTTCTCCAAACAATTTTTCTCAATGGAAATAAGGTTGAAGAAATCGTGGTGGACAACATTTTTTCGCGTTGTCATCCAGCGTGGAATTGTCCCCACGTGTCGAGTTTGTGCCCGTTTGGACCGGCCGTGAGAAGTTGACGTTGTATCTAGAAGAGGGACAACTGTTCTTCTCAAGAGGAAACCGTGGCGGGAGGGGGAAGCAGTTACCTGGGGAGCATGAATGAGATTCATCTCGAGCAGACGGGTCTGAAGGTGGCCTTCAGCGGGACGATTGTTCTTCAAGGCATCCAGCAAGAAGGAAGTACACTGCTGAATTAAACTGTTCTCCATGAACACGTCGACAATCTGCAGCAGAAGAACATATCAAGGGCACTGAAGACTTATATACCGCTTCATAATGCTTTTACAACCTTCTCTAAGGGGTTTAGAGTCAGCATATTGCATATCTGGGCTTTCGTTTTACTGACCTCATAAGACTGCTGGCAGTCAGAATTATCCTGCAATACTGCATTCTAACCATTGGGAAGGAAGGGAGAGAAGGAGGGAGAGAGGGAGGAAAGTGATAGAAGGAAGATAGATGAGAAAGGAAAGAAGGAAAATATATGATAAAGGAAGGAAGATCATGGAAGGAAGGAAAGAAGGAAGATGATAAAGGGAAGGAAGGAAGGAAGGAAGGAAGGAAGGAAGGAAGGAAGGAAGGAAGGAAGGAAGGAAGGAAGGAAGGGCAATAGCACTTAGATTTATATACCGCTTCACAGTGCTTTACACCCTTCTCTAAGTGGTTCACAGAATCAGCCTCTGTTGGGCTTTTATCCTTGTAAGCTGCCTAGAGTCACAGAGTAATTTTTCATAAAAGATGGATGGATGGATGGACATTGTGTACTGCTTCACGGTGCTTTAGAGCCCTCTCTAAGCGGTTTAGAGTCAGCCTCTTGTCCCCCAACAATCTGGTCCTCATTTTACCGACCTCGGCAGGATGGCAAGAAGGGTTAATTCCAAGCCCCCCAGAGACCTGCGAACGTCTCTGAGGTCACTGGATCTCCCCTCACCTTTCACTGTCTCTCCGGGACAGCTAGGGTCCGAACGACCCGTCCAAAATTCCTTCGGAATAGGGGAATTTCAGGAATAGCCTGAAACTCCGTCTTCTCACTGCTAAGCCCCGCCTTCTTCCCTGCTAAGCCCCGCCTTCTTCCCTGCTAAGCCCC